GAGGCCCTCACCCGATGAAGCCAACAGAACCACATCATCTGCAAAAAACAAAGAATCTCATGTGCCATTACTATTATTATTATGTGTGGGGTCACTGTTCTCTCTGAAGTCGTTCCATCTCCCATTAAACTTCACTGAAGTCCAGCTTCAAAATCCTCCGAGGAACTTTTGACGGGAATCAAAGAAAGAAACTGTAACCTGCTCAAAGTTCAGTCTTTTTTACTTTAAAGAGCAAAACTCAAGTAAAAAGAACATAAAGTGTTAGACTTTATTCAGTGCTCACATACACACACACACACGTGATTGTGGGGTTTGTATAAAATATTTGTATACTAAATATAGATATTTGCAGGCACGGAGCCCGAGGCAAAGTTTGATCCACTCGGCTGTGGAAGAGACAGGGAACATACAAACACTATGATCATTACAGTGTGATGATGATGACTGATGAAATATTCTGTTCAAAGTCAAATTTGTTTCATAGAGATTAAAAAGTTTAGCAAAAAACCTGCTGAATGGAGATCCAACTGAACAGCTTGGAAACTACACAGAATACAAGCAGCAACATCAAAGAGGGAGCAATAATAAAAGACAACACATGAACCAAAACACTAGGTTACAGAACTGCACAATCATTAGAATAGCCATAAAATAAAACGATCACATTATCGTTATTATAGACCCCAAATCACATTAACTACTTCTCACAATATATGAAAGTAATACAAGAAATAACAACAGGAAACCAAAGGTTCACAAACAAAACCTGAAAAACTCTAGAACAGTGAGACAGAAATGAACCAAGACCTCAATGAGACCACGAAAGTGCAGTGATAACAGTCACCTCCCCCAACAGTGCAGTGAGATTGGAGGGTTTGTGAATTTAACAGCTCTCTTCAGCCTGACTCTTCATCTCTGTTAGCGTCATTAAACACAGACTAAAAGCTGCTCTGATCACCTTCGTCTCTACTCCACCTCTGGCCCAGTCCAGGGTGTTTCTATACACATGCTGCAGCTGATTCAGCCTCTCTGCACCATCAGGACACTGCCCATCCTCACTCTGCACATGCACCACCTTATTTCCACCTGCAGAGAGAAGAGAAAGAGCAGAGGGGACAACAAGTGGCAGTTATGCACTTTAAGTTAATTTCATGGTTTTGACTTACAATTTAAAATAATTTATGTTCAATAAATCCATTGTTGTTTTTAAACACGCATTTAAAGGTTCTACATAATGTGTCCAGGATGGAACCAATGTTCAATCTGTTGTTTAGGTTTGACAATATTTTACATGCCACACTCGGTAGAGGGCAGCATCTTCCCTTTCTCAGTCTGTGGATAGACATTTGGGGATGTGTGCAGCAAGGTTTGGGTACAGAGGGTGTTTTTATTAACCTCTTCAAGTTAATGCGGCCAATGGAGCATGTAATTAGTATTTTATGTGCTGGTATGAAAATAAGATGTTTATTTGTGACAGACCTGTCGAGTTTATGTTATTTATGTGTAATACAGTCGTCATTTTGTAAAGGTCAAATGAACTGATTGTGGATGTTTTGTGTTGGTGAATAATATGTTTTAATGTTTACTCGCTATGACAACACCTTAATGTGAAAACTGATTATTTTATGTTGCTTTGTACAGTTTTCATGGCATCTAATAAATGCCAGTAGGAGTCAAGAACACCTTGTGTCTGTCATTCTACTTGGAGGGAGTTGCATCCAGTATAAAGAGCAGCAGGGACTTTAGTCCCATTCAGGGCAACAAGGTGGCTCAGGTTTGCACTATGAATTAAGTTCAACATACCCAGGATATTTTTCCATTATCTCTCTTTACTTAACCTGACTTCTTTTGGAGTATTAGCTTAAAAATCTACCCCAGATTCCAGCCTTCATCATTCAAGTCCAGACTATTTGAAGCTGGAAAAATTCTGGCTGAAATGTTAACTATGTAAATCAACATTTAACTCAGTATCATGTCTTTATCATCAAGTCATGGCAGTGTAATTATTATTCTATTAGATTAATATCACAGTTTTCAGTCGCAGCCTCTGTGATATGTAACAGGACATAAGACTATGAATTTTACTAATGCTCATCAGATAAAGACAAAGACTTAAGATGGTCATCTGTTTCTGAAATATCATTGGACTAATAAACATGACCGAATGTACTGAAAGAAAGACACATGTACAAATGTGATTCGTGGATGTCGGAGCTTCTGGTCTGTAAATGTCACATGGATAATAAATTTAATGACAGTTCTCTGATTTCAGGGCTGTGACAAAAATGAAACTGACCAGGTGTTTAGTTTTGAAATGAGAAAACAAAGTGTGAGATCAGATTTAATCCTCCCACAGTTTGATGAGTGAGGACCAACGTCTCTATAAATCTGTAATGTCAGTTGGATTTCAAATGTATTTCGTGTAGACATGAACACAATAAAAACAGTCATTGTTCTCTTTGTGTTCTTGTCTCATAGGCTTCACTGAGAAAAGAGGTACTGAGAAAGCTGTAAATTTACAGGAAACACTGGAGTTTTTCTTTAATTCTTCACTGTGTTAATTATAGTACTGCTGAAAGTACCATGGACTCACTCCAACAATTTATTTACCTCAGAGTCTCCAGTCTACAGTGTGGGCTCTCCACCAGATCAGACAGCTGCTTCACATCTGAATCCTGAAGGTTGTTTCTTCTCATGTACAGCTGTCTCAGAGAGGAGGATTTCAAAGCTGATACCAGATAATCACAGGCAATCTTTGACAAACCACAGTTTTCCAATCTGAAGAAGAAAAAAAATACTTCATTAATAAGTTTCAGCTTGAAGTCATTCAGTGTTTCATTATCTGTTGAAAGACGAGGAAGGTTAAAAATCTAGAACTATATAATCTTCACATGATGCCATACTACTGAACTTTTATTTGTTTCAGTCATATTTTGTACAAAAGATTTTGCTTTTTATTTAAATGTCAGCTAGATTTTAAGGTAGAATGGAGTATTTTAGCGTTTCAGAGTGAATTGTGCAGTGGATGATTTTTCTTCTTCTTTGAAGGTTTGAAATGTGAACATTGTTCTGCTGCAGTCAATGGACTAAACCAGAGAAGAAGAAAACAGACTTTACCATGAAGATCCTCAGTGTGGATCAGTATAATATCAGCACAACTTTCACATCATATTCATCTCAGCACAACTAAAACATGCTGACTGACCTCAGAGTTTCAAGTTTACATCCTGGGCTCTCTAGAAAACCACACAGATGCTTCACTCCTGAATCCTGCACATCAGCGTTGTTACTCAGGTCCAGATGTTTCAGATGAGACAGGCTGGACTTTAAGGCTGAGACTAGAGAAGCACAGCTGATCTCTGACAACCAGCAGTACTCCAATCTAATTTAAGAATAAAACATGTAAAAAAAAGTTTCAAACATAAAGATTTGAAATATTGTAAAAACCAGTCAGTGAACTGACCTCAGAGTCTCCAGTCGACAGTTTGGACTCTCCAGTCCAGCAGACAAACACTTCACTCCTGAATCCTGCAGCTTATTGTAACTCATGTCCAGCTCTGTCAGATGGGAGGATTTGGACTTCAGAGCTGAGGCCACATTGTCACAGTGAGCTTCTGAGAGTCCACAACCAGTCAGTCTGTGGTTAGAGAAAATATAAAATGTGTTTTTATAACAGCAGAAAATCTGCATTAGAAACACAGACTGAATGTACACTCAACAAAAATATAAACCCAACACCTTTGTTACTGCTCCCATTCCCCATGGGATGGACGTAGAGACCTAAAATTCATTCCAGATACACAATATAACCATC